TAAGTGATTGCATGTACACATGTACGAGTATTCATGTTATTTTTCTCAGTGAGCTCATACGACCACACGAACATTTTTTTAACCTTACAGCTATGTTAGTCCTTACTCGGGCATTGTATGATTTAAGTTCGAAATCATTCTTGGTGAGCGTACATGTTGTATACATCTACTCGTGTTATTATCTCGTAATACAGATTAATCTCATAGTAAACTAAATACACTCAATGTCAAGTTTCATTTATTAATTATTGTGTTTAATTAAGTGTATAAGAAATTCAAATGTTTATATTAACTTAAATCTTAAGCATTTCACTCAAAAACTATTTTGAAGGAGTAAATGTTGTAAATATTTGTAAATTTGTCACAAAGTATTCCTTTCTTAAAATTAGAGAGTTTTCAAAATATTATTTTTATATTGTTGTTGAATATAATAACTTATTTGTTAACTAGGTCTTCGTGTATTTCTTAATCAGATACCCGATACAAATTCTAGTAGACTTGCTGTACTGTTCAAAGTACAGTTAAGGATCTCAGTGTTAAAAAATATTTATCTTGCAAACTGTATTTGGATACGGAAGTTCTATTATTTCTATTACTTATTTGTCCTTATCTTTACTCGATGTTTCCTTTTGTCTTTCACCATGTCAGTTAATTTTTCATCAGTAATCAGATTTACCGATGATGTAGCACAATAAACTATAGTTACAGTAATTTAGGCACCGATGGTGCAAGTAAAAGTTTTCATTTAGGTATATGGTATTTATTGACATAATTAATATGTCAATAATTGCGTTTCTAAATATTGGGCACGGAAAGTATGTGTACACATTTTAGACTACCTTTTATAAGGTGTCCGAATACTTATAATATTTTAATTAATTATATTTAAATTTTACTTTAGGTTTTATTGTAATCCTTCGCCAAATCTGTTTTATAAATTTTTTTTTGTTTTAACATAGTAATTACACATAGGTATACAACCGTGTAAGATAAAATTGTTAAATTTAAATTACATCCCTTCGACTAGGTGTGGTATATTTGCACTTTTAGATGCAAAGCATTAAATTAACCAGATTATCCAGAAACATTAACGCCCGATGATCGGATTAGTGGACGGGCTGCTCAGGATTGGTTACATTACTGCGATTGGAACCGATGGTTAAATCAACACGGGTAGATCGGCGGTTAAACAGTTTTGTGTGGTTTAATACAAAAGTCTGAGTCTGGGTCAGAACCCAGCTCAATTAAATTCACTATGAATATATTCCGCAGAACAATCGTGTTCTATATTTAGTTTGAAAAGAAATTATTATTGTTTTGGATCTTGTAGTTTCAACCACAAGATAATTAGGAACGTGTCACTCGAACTGTTCAAAACAGTTTGTAATACATACAGCGTTACTTATTTGTAGGTCTGTTTGTTAAATAATTAATAGGTAATCTGAAATAAAGTTATGCATTTTATTTATACTGTAGTTTGGAAGTTGTTTAAAGGCATTTTTACGAATATGGGAATTGGAACGTAGATTCTCACAAAGTTTTCTTTTAAATTACTTTATATAACTTTATGTTACTAAATCAAATATTTAATTCGTGGTTATATTGTATTACCATATGACGGATTAAATTGATCAAGTATATTGATCTAACCTAACCTAATTATTTCTAGAAAGTATGTAGTTTATTTATTCTAATGTAATATATTTCACAAGATTACACAACCAATGTTTTTTGCGGAAAAAGGTTGTTTTAAATGTGTTTATCAATTTGCTCTGCCCCTTTTTACACCTGAGTTTTCAAAGTGGAGATGAACTTCAGAACACACGAAAGACCAATCCCTAAATTGTAGAACTGATACACTATGATCTACATTTATTTAACAAAATAAAAGAACACTAATTTTAAAAGGAATTCTGACATCAAAGTTTGGGGACTTCTTGGTCAGAACAAAAAATAGCCAAATAAATAATCTTAATATTCTATGGAGTTTTTTTTTAGAAACGTTTGCTTTTAGTGCATTTTCCATATAGGGAATAAGCTATTACCGTAGGTCTAATAAAGAGACCTGGACCTGAACCCAATTTAGTTTTTCGTTTCGAAGCTGTCAAGAAGTATATGCTCCTAGCGAGCAGGAGCTTTGGTGATGTAGTGCTAGTCGCCACAGTCATACAGACTTGGACTTGGAGTTTTTCGTTTCGAGATCTCCAAAGGCAAAAAAACATCCTCCGTTTAAATGTATATAATATATTTTCTATACTATTATGAAACATATTTAGCTCTATATATTTATATAACTGTATAAGTAAATTTATATAATTTCATATTTATAAACAAGATTTTTTCAATGAATCATCGTTGTATGCCAAACGTGTAATTTTTAAATTGACATGTCCATTCCTAAGGAGAATAAATACACCATTGTAGTTTCCTTGTGAATGTGATATTTTAATCAAATAATGCAATTTTGTTTATTACTAAGCTATCAACATACCAATTAAAACATTACCTTTCATGTGGCTGCAAACCTAAGTTCTCTATAAAGCTTAAATATATTTAAATAGGTAATGAATCCGACAGTTTTAGGATAATATTTTAGTATAAATCTAGCCAGGTAATAGGGAAACAGCTTAGTCTGCATGTTTGCTATGGGGGGGGGGGGTATTTATAAATTCTACTAGTTGATTTCAGTATCGTAACAACTTTAGCTCATAGGTTTAACTTGAAGAAGAGTATTAATTTTGACTCTAGGGAAAATACAATTTGTAAGAAAGTCTTTTTACACAAAAATGGCTTTTCGAGTCATTAGGTAATTGACAAGAACGTCTTGGTTACGAGTTCATTTCCAAACTGTTCATTGTTCGTTGTAGTTAGTGTATAACTCTAATGTATTAAACATCAACCATGTTTCATAGTCTTAAAGTATTTCGATGGAATTTTATTAAGTGGATCTTTGCTTATGGGTTAGTACTACAACGTACGTTATCGTAAGTACGGTTTGATTATGCTGCATACATTGTAGGCCTACCTATTGTGTTTTATTGTTCCGTATCTTTTTCACATCTTTTACAAAACATAGATTTTTTATACATTTCCCCAAATATTTCTTTAAATTATTTTATGCCATATAATTATTAAATCTGTGATTAGTGATGACTAAAAATATTTTACGCAGTAAACATGTTATATTTAATTTTTCTACAGCAGTTCATAAAGTATTGCATATTTAATTTTTCTACAGCAGTCCATAAAGTATGATTTGGAAGTCTACTCGAAATACCAATTATCTATAAATGCCGTGCCTAAGGCTACCTAACTATTGCGTGCATATAAGAGTCTTGTTTCTTTAACAGCTATAGGGAAATTGTACATTTTTTTACTAAACATATTTTTTATGATAAACAGCTTTAGGTATTAAAGTCTAATTTAGTAAACAGAATTTGAAATAAATGAGCTTATTTGAAATAAATGTTTCATTATTAAATACCTTTTTCTGTCGGAGTACGACCTTTGGTTTGTGATTTATAATTTAGCAATTATTATCAAATACTAAACATATTTTTGATATCGACTTTATTAAGTCTCTAACTAACGTTTTATGTTGCGTTAGGTAACGTAAAAAACTAACACAAGAGACTAATACATTAATGAAACAAGCTTTTATTGCAATAAGTGGTAAATTTGAAATTTTAATCTATGAACTATGTTTTATTCAATGTATCAATTATCAAATTACAGCATTATGTAAGTGATTACAAAATATAAGGTTATAATTTTACTTCATAAAAAGTAAAAAATATATCTTAGTGGGTTTCAAAATAGCAATACTAATACTCAACTATATAAAAACACTGATTTAACCTCATTTTTTATTTGAACCTCATTATAAATTGAAATGGCCTTGAATAAAGAGGGAAAAAATTATGACCATACCAAATCCTTAATCTGTCATCGACAAATTCTTTAATTAACGTTAATTTAATATCAGGTCCATTAAATATTAATATTGCAGCTCAGAAACTATTTTATCTGAGTTATCAAATTACATGCTTTATGTTACTTTCCGTGTTGAAACACTTATACCAAAAGACAAATGAATTAAATAAGAAACGATACATTAAAAAACAATTTGTTAACTATATTTACTTTATAAAGATGGGAGAAAATGTTGCAGCAACGTAAAGACGTTGAAGAATATTCATTCGAGAAAGAGGTCCATAAAAAGTACATTAAGGGGCCCTCCTCGGGCTCATTGAAGAGGTGCCGGCTTGAAAGTGTCTTCATTCCACCACTGAATGGTATAATGATACAAAGAAATATCTCAGATGCGACTGAAATACATATTACTCAATCACAAAGTATTTTAATATTCTCTCTATGACTTGAAACAACGTAATATTATAACATTGCTCATTTGCTTCCCTTTTGAGAAGCTGTTATTGCATAGCGATCTCTTCGTTGCAAAATGTGTTCCTCTTCATAGTCATTTAATACATCACTCGCCTTATTCAACACACATTTTCTCCTATGTTTGAATTTTGTTTTTTCTCTGCAAAGGATTTTTAATAATGATATATATTTAACATTGTGTTTATATAGCTTAATTATTGCACAGTATACATGTTATAATACAGTTTCTCATTATAATATATGTTTGTGTTTATGAGGTAAACTCCTTTCACGTATTTGAAGTGATATAAATGTAGGTTACCTAGTCAAAAGCTACTGGATAGACTTACTTACAAATATGTTCTTAGTAATATTTCACTATGTATATCACATACATACCTACATTAGAATGTTCAATGTTGTATTGGTAAGACTTAGGCCTACAATTTATTTTTGTCGATTGAAATACCTTGCTAGAATGACATAATGATTAATCATTTTACAAAAACCACCAAATTCCTGAAAACTGTGTTAAGATGACAGGTTAAGAAATCAACTCCCAATCAGACAATGGGAAATGTTATCTCAATCTTTATAAAGTAGCAATATCTTACCTTAATTAGAGGAGTGTTAGAAGGGCTGACACTGTTGTTGGCTAGGCCAAGTTGTGGAGCGTAGGTAAACGGAACGAACAGCATGGGGGTGGATGCAGGCTCACATGAGGGCTCCTCGGAGGGCAGAGCCCTACAGCGGCAAGGCTCGGGCTGCGGGTACGGCGAGGGCCTTACAGAGGACGCCAGCCTGGTGGAGCGGACAGGACCACCGGAGTCTGAGGTCTGAGGAGAGCAACCGCAGGTTTGGGGCTTCCACAGCGCGCACGGATAGACTCCGACTAGACTGTAGCCCACCACGACCTGGCCCTGCTCACCACTGCCACCTTCTTGGCGGGAAATCTTGACGACGGGAAAAACAAGAGGAGGGAAACTGCGCCCTGTACCCCAGGCACTAGTCGCCCGTCACTGATCAGGCACTGAGTTTAGACGGACGAGAAACAGAAATGTACCTATGAGATGAACTGTACTTCGAGGTGTAAAGACTCCTAAACCAAATCAGACACAACACCTCCGATGTTGTTTATTGGGAACAATCTAGGTTAGATTCGAAAAATAAGACGGTAAAAAGGTAGATATTGACATTACCCCAGTGGAAAATATCAGAGTGAGATATTAAAAACTAAATCACATTTGTAAAAAAATAATAGTTACTTAGAGAAAGAGAGAGACACTGAGAGAGAGACACTCGCGCACGCACACTCGCGCACACACGTGTCGTCCGGCGAGCACTCCGGGGCTACGAACACTACGGGGTTGTTGCTTGTATCGAAGCTGTACAATAAATAAGCAGGCTGTCTGCGGGACGAGGGACGGGGGAAGCAACAGCGAGGAGCGCAGGACTGGTGGCCCGTTCGGCGCAATCAATGAAAATATAAACCGGCTTCACTACACAACAACTCCACAACAACTAACTACCTGCTCTCTCTTCTCCCCGTCTATCCCGTTACAGACCGCACTTTTGTTCGATTCGTATTGCGTCTTTTCACCCACATCGTGCCCTTCCGAATACGACCTCATTAGCGACACTCCGAGCCGGGATAAATATAAACAGGTGACATTACAGTGCGGTACATGAAGCTCAGGTGAGGTTATGTCAGCAGGTAGCTAACCTATCCGCCACTCCCACCCTCACCTCTCAGTAGTTGTCTGAATTATCTTCAACTTTATTAAACAATCATTATGTATAACTTTGACAACTCTTTGATAATTACAATTTATGTATATTTCAACCTCACTTACTTAAGTTTCACCTACTTAACCTACTTAACCACCTACCTAACCTACTTAAGTTTATATAGTGGCCGATTTTTATACTACAAAACTGGGCCATATAACCTATTTTAAAACAGCACATTGCTGATATTTTGAGATTTTTATTGTTAAGTTGTAATAATTTAAAAGATTTTTAGTTGAATATAATCTTAAAACCTATAATTAACTAATTGAAATAATGTTAGTAGCTGTCACTGATATAAAGTAAACTGTTATAATTTACTACAAATCTAAACCAATATCAACATAGGTACAGACATAAGCCATCGATATATACATGCTCAGTGCAACTAGGACATGCATAGTTAATTAATACACTTAATTAGGAAACGGTTATAAGGTTATAAAACCCCTTTTACCTATCAACTAGTTGGTTTAAATCTTTTTTTACTATTACTAGTTTTAGTTAGGATTTACATGAAAGATAGTTGTAGATTAATTGTTGTTTAAGAAACCAAAAGACTTTTATTATAAAATATTTGCATCGTTATTGAATTTTATTAGCAATTATTGTAATCGTAAGTTATGAATACGTAATGTTCTATTTTAGTGTGTCATAGCGTTGATACAGATAAACAGTTCTGTTTGATTGTTTCAGAGAGTTTTTTGTGTGTTCATTATGGTGTCAACAGTTAAGTCAAAGTTTAATATAAAATACCGCGATAAGCAACTCTCCTAACACTCCTAACAAAAATTGGCAAGTAATAACCCAGGAGACAGTAGAAGAGGTTTCACGGGTGAAGCTGCTGTATAAGCTTTGTTTCATACCGCTGCAGCCGAACACGATATAAATATAAAGTTCCAAATTCAATTATCGGAGACAGAGATGCGAAGTGTGTTTCACGTGGTATAAATAAAAGAAGAGCCTTGTATATTGCGGTGGATACACTCATATTTCGTCAGGCTCCGCTAGGATGTCTTCGGCCCTGTGCGTATTGCAGTCTTGTCGCATCCATCAAGCCAGCCCTCACCCTTCGCTTCCTCGGCTTCACACCGCACTTTTTATTTTACTTTCCGCCTTGTTTTCATTTCCCGGACCGATAATTTATATTTCTTGCAGGGAGATCCCCGTTCGGATAAAAACACAGGCTCCAATTAGGAATAAATTACGCTATCACTGGAAACTTATCCACCCCCCACCATCACTGCAGGCCCGAGTGGAAGGCTATGGTAATTAAATTGTATGATAAATGGGTAAAATATTAATTTATTCTTCAATTGCAGTATTCTTCTTTAAGGCGAGTGAATAAAGGTGAATGAATTTGGCGAATGTTATTCCCGATGAATATAAGGTAAAACTTATCATTAAGTTGGATTATAAATTATATGTAAAGTAAATTAATGAAGCAACACAATTATTGACATATATAATCACTTTATTTAAATAATACTACAAACCTAACATTTGTACAAACAAAAATATATATTTTTTTATTAAATTAATGTATATAAACATACTAGTGTATATATCAAAGGTGTAATATGTCAAAACAGTGAGTCTTTTAGCTGCACATATACGAAATATTCTTTTTTAATAAATAACAACTCAAAATAATAATATTTTTGCCAAATAAAAATATATAATGAACTGTATCAGCAATCTGACACATACTTTTCTCATTAGCTTGCCAACAACCTCTATAATGGGTAAGCGGTGGGAGTATGATATGTTATAGGGAAAATCGTAAAAGTTACATTTTATTTCTTAAACCAAACATTTTTTTTCCAGAAAATTTGATATTCCGTAATTTTATGAGTTTTCGTGGGTAAGTTACAATAAAATAAAAATTTTTAAAAAAAAAACACCTAGAGATAGTAGATTAGTATCCACATACCAAATTTAATCTAAATCGGACAACAAAAATAGCAAAGGACCAGAGGGCAATTAAAGATTACAATGAACTAATCACTTTTCCAGTACACATTCAAGATGGAGGCATTCATAAGAGTATATAAAAATATTGCCTTACCACGACTTGATTATGTTGTTGAAAATTCCACGGAAAATAAAATAAGTACTTTACTTTCATTGAACATCGGACCTCAATATACATAAGAGCCACACTTAAATCGGTCAAGACAATCTTTAAAATATATGATTCATTTATGTATTTAATGAGTTGGATGCACATTGGGATCTAGCTTTGTTTACATTTATTTCGTATTTCGTTCTGTCAAGTAATTTGATAGACAATCCCGAATCATACATGTGACTTAAGGTTGAAACCCATTGCATTTGGAAATGTTATATGTCAATACTTTGTTTGGATACACCAAACAAAAAAATAGTGTGGGAAAGACCTAAGTGTGTGTGTATATGTCTGATAATGAAGGTTAGGGTTAAAAGTTACATCCACAAGGTGGATTCAGCAAAAAACTACAATACTAAGCTATGTACATTACATGATTTACAATAACTATGATGCACGGTAGATAACTTCCCTATCACACTTGTGATATATGGTACAGCCTATATATAGTGCAAAATCGTTTTTGTACTAACAGGCTTTGTATAATTATGATTCAATATATATTTGATTACGAAATATTTATTAGTCTATGAATATTTACTCATATAAATAACAGTAGTTCATACACACGGTTGTATTGTAATGATGATAGTTTGGGTATGTTAAATAGATTACATTGTTGTATGTTTAGATGCCCTTGGCAAGTGACACATCGATTTCATCATGAGCTATCGTGAAAAATCAACAATAATGGTTATTATGAATAAGTAGCTAATAAGGCCTACGCTAAAGGGCTATTCAATTTTTTAAGCAATACTATAAGGTGTAAGATGTGGCAATAAAGGTAAAATTGTAATCTTTCAACGAATATAATGTAAGCTAAACAAACCATGTTTCATTTCATCCTACTCCATGCCAGTGATAACCCTTATTCTGGTTTCTGCCTATGCCTCACCCCAGCGTTGCATGCTTACTACTACCACAGGGATGATTGTATTCACGCCTGGATGGACCGCAGCCTAATAACCACACTCCAGCGATCTTCAAAGGATTCAGTCATAACACAGATCAGGTAATTAACCGTCAAATGTAATTACAGTATTCCTCTTTAGCGATGGGCTCATAACTATTACCATATCATATCCTCTTTTACATAAAAAAATCAAAGTACATTGAGTATTACGCAAATTTATGTTGTATTTACGAAGAGCAGAATATATTGCAGAACACACGTATGCATTGTTATATGTCTTTTCAAGCATATATTTAGTAACTTTATTGAAACGGAATGCTAGGGACTGGAGGTTCAGTGACAAAGTGTAAAAAATTTAGAACAATTTAATTTTAGGTATTAGAAAATTGATAATCTAGATTTTTCAAGATGAGTATGTCATCTCCATGTACGCTTGTAAGTCTTCAATACATTTTCTAGAAAGAATATAACACTGTTGCAATTAGTTCCCAGCGTAGTTAATGCTGCCTTGCCTGAAATTGACATTTAGTTAAACATTGGTTTATACAATGTAAGGTCAAAAAAGTAATAATAATTACTATCCCTACTCGATACCTATCATATTATGAATTACATTGAAGTATGGGCTAATTATTAAGCTTGTCAGACCTCACCCACATACGACAACCTTCAAGCCTACTTATTCACACAAAAAATCAAGATTGTATGCTTCCTAATGTATTGCAGTAAACCAATGATCTGCGACCCGCAAAGTATCAAATCGTGTGGAAAACGGATCAAAAGTGTAGCATGTACAGATAGGGGGATATAAGGGAGTATATTTCTGAAAACGGTTGGAGTGTTAAGCTCGAATCATGGCTGTATTCAATATGAAGGATGTGTTTTGGGAGTTAGGTCAGGCGAGTAAGTTGATATGAGCGATGACTCCTGCCCCCCGAGGCCAAATAAACTGCATAACTTTTACATACAAACTTGTTGAATGGCCCCTCACGACTAAAATCGCAAACTCAACTGAAACTGTGTCATTTCCCTGATGATACTTTCGATTACGATGCACTTAGGTTGCATTTGCATATTGCTCAATAACAAACATACAGTGCAGTCATATGTAGCGTACAACAATTTAATATATTCCACATTCAATGTTATTTTCTTATAGTATTCCTGAAATAGTTTTTCCTTATACATTTTTTAGCCAGTCATGTTTTGTTCTGCGACAACTAAATTGTGTTTTTCTTTATTTTACGATCAGTTGTCGCTAGAAAACATTTCTAGTTGGTAATTGGTATAAATCTAAGATCATTCGATCGGATCCTGACAAACCTGGGTTCAGTGTAATTATATTGATTTTACAAATTACAGTTATTAGATTTTCAGATTTTTTACAAATTCGCTTGGAATTATTATAATGTTTTTCAACCAAATTATAATTAAATATCTTGTTTTCAATTAAAATTCTGGAACATAATATTTTGTATTACCAATAAATTAAATACACTAGCTGTAGCGTGCAAATTGCTTATCTACGGCTACGTGAGTGAG